GCCTCAAACTGTCACCATGGGTAGAGTGCTGTAGCTCACAGCTCACAGCAACCTCCAACTGCTGGGCTCAAGCAATTCTCCTGCCTCTGCCTCCCAAGTAGATGGGACTACAGGTGCCCGCCACAATGCCCAGCTATTTTTTGGTTGCAGCCATCATTGTTTGGCGGGCCTGGGCTGGATTCGAACCTGCCAGCTCAGGTGTATGTGGCTGGTGCCTTAGCCATTTGAGCCACAGGCGCCGAGCCACTTAGAAGTAACTTTAACTCCTCTTAACCTGTAGCCCTCACACACTGTTTTCTCAGTCCCTCCTTCTCCCTCCAGTCCTTCAGTATGAAGTGGCCCTTGACTCAGGAGACCAAGAGTAGGAGATCCCTCATTAACCTCTTCCCTGGTCTTCCTGCCTCCAGTCTCCCTCTCTTTAGTCTGTCTCCTGCATGAGCATAGGGAGAGCTTCATATCATCTGGTGTTGACCAGGCCTCTTCCCTTCTCTAAATCCTTCCACACAGCTTCCCATCAGCTGTCGGAGAAAGTTCCTAAGACTTTACCCCACCTGACATTGTAGGCTCTTCTGGGGCCACCACCCTCATTTTCCTCACCCTTTATACACATACCAGGTCCTTGGCATATCATCTTCCCTACCTGGAATGCCCTTCCTCCTACTGCTTTGCTGAATCATATTTGTCTCTTAGGGTTCCACTTGGGGATTCATTCCTAGGAGAACCCTTCCCTAGCCTTCCTCTTTGGAGATCACCTAGTCCCTCATACCTTGTGTTTTACCAAATATGAGAAGACCGGGAGGATGAGACTGAGTCAGATTTGTCTCTGGGTCCCCAGCATCATCAGCCCAGAAGGACTGGTTTTAACTGTTTGCTGGATGTCCCTTCTTGCAGCTCTCTGTCTCTTACTAGTTCTTGCCCCCTCTCTCCACAAGGCTGCCTGCTGAGGTGGAGTTAGAAGACACAGGGTGGCATAGCAGCTGCTCCTGCCTATAATCCTAGCACTCTGGGAGACCGAGATGGGTAGATGGCTGGAGCTCAGGAATTCAAGAGCAGCCTGAGCAAGAGCGAGACCTGTCTCTACTAAAAATAGAAAAACTAGCTGGGCGTTTTGGTGGGCACTCATAGTCCCAGGTATTTGGGAGACTGAGGCAAGAGGATTGCTCAAGATAAAGAGTTTGAGGCTGCTGTGAGCTACGACACCATGGCACTCTACCCAGGGTGACAGAGTGACACTCTGTCTCAAAAAAAAAAAAAAAAGAGGAAGACATTGAGTCTGTTCTTGGTATACACTTACTCCAAAAATCATTGTCTCTTTGTGCTTTGGGAGTCTTGTCTGTACTTTGGGGGTATCTTAATCCCTGCAGGCTGCTATAACAAAATACCATAGACTGGATGGCTTATAAACAGCAGAAATTTATTTCTGACAGTTCTGGAGGCTGGGAAGTCCACACATAAATCCTGCAGCAGCAGATTTGATGTCTGGTGAGGACCTGCTTTCTGGCTTATAGATGGCACCCCTTAGCTGTGTGCTCACTTGGTGGGAGAGCAAGGTAGCTGTCAGGGGTCTCTTTTATAAGAGACTCACTTATGAGGGCTCTACCCTCGTGATCTAATCACCTCCTAAATGTCCCACCCCTAGCACCATCACCTTGGTGATAAGGTTTCAAAATACTAGTTTTGAGGTGACACAACCATTCAGACCATTGCACTCCTTTGCTCGCCCCATTGGGTTGTTGGGAAGATCATATGGCAGAAAGGATGTGAAGGGACATTGTGGAATGTGCCCAGAGGACATGCTGTAGGATCCCATTTATACGAAGTTCATGTGCTCATGTAAGTGTGCTGTATGTCCTGACTTCCTTCCTACGGCAGACCTTTGTCTACACCATCCCCTCTACCTAGAATGCCCTTCCTGTTACTTCTTTTTCCACTTTGTTGTAAGTTTACACCTTCCACAAAGTCTTCCCTGACTTCCTCAGGTTGGAGAATTTCACACAACTCAGCTTTGCCTCATGTGTTTTCTGTCAAATACATCAACACTCTCTCGTGCATGGGAGGTGGGTTGCCTAGCAGTTCATGGGGCTGGGAGTTGGACTCCTGGTTCTCCACTTACTAGATGCATGAGCTCAGGCAAGGGTCTTTGGCTCTCACTTTGTCCGTCTGTGACTTGGGGCTTATGATAATAGCTCACTACACCGGGTGACTGCTGTGTCTCAGGTACCATAGTTTCATCTCATTAAATCCTCATTCCCAACCACTGTGAAGCAGGCCTTCTTATTATGGAGTTTGTTTTCTCCTCCACTTTATAGGTAAAGGAACACAGGCACAGAGAGCTTAAATAACTTGCCTGTGGTCACCAACAGGCTGAATAGAAGAGATAGGATTAAAGCCCACACAGTCCAGCTCCAGAGTCTGGGCATGTGTTAGCATATACTGCTTTTGGTGCCTTCAGTGATATTAATAATATACCAACAAAGTCGCCCCCTAGCGGCCTCCTAGAGCCATGATTAGGATCAAGAGGGAGAGCACAGGGAGCCCTGCTGAGGGTTGCCTGTTGCCTGCTGGTGCTCAGCGAGCAACAGTTATTGTCAGAATTGCTCTTCAACCACCCTGAGCAAGAGTGAGACCCCGTCTCTACTAAAAGTAGAGAAATTAGCCAAGTTGTGGCGGGTGCCTGTAGTCCCAGCTACTTGGGAGGCTGAGGCAAGAGGACTGCTCAAGCCCAAGATTTTGAGATTGCTGTGAGCTATAATGCCATGGCACTCTACCCAGGGTGACAAAAAAAAGAGACTCTGCGCCCCCCCCCCCAAAATTGCTCTTCATGTGGAGCACAATGCATCTGTTTCTCTTTATCCTGGGATGCTAGTGACTGTGTCCAGTTTTTTCCAGGCCTGCTGACTAGGTAGGGGAAGGGTGATGGTCGGGAGTAGGAGGAAGAGACAGATGGAGAACCAGACGGACAGGAGCACAACTCTTCTTTTGACATCATTTTCTAGTAAAATGGGTAGGAGCTGAAGCATGGAGGAGAAAGGGGTGAAGCGTGGAGGAGAAGGGCGTGTGTGACCCTGTCTCCCAGTCTTCTGGAGGGGCAGTCTATACAGAAAGCCCTGGCAGCAGGAGAACGGTGAGGAGCAGCGCCCTAACCTGGGGCGCCAGGGAAGGGACGGTGGCTGAGGCGGTGGTGAAGGGCTGGGTCACTGAATCCTGGTTGCAGAAGTTCCCCTTACAGCAGGAACCCTGGAGGTCGATGTCCGTCCAGGGGCTTGTGGTGCCCTCAGTGGTGCAGGAGGGTCGGTGGCAGGTTCTGATGTATACAGGGACTGAGAAGTTGCCTGGAACGCGGTGAGGTGGAGAGGAGGAGGGGGTCAGAACTGAAGGAGGGAGCTGCGCCTAAACCTCCACCTTGGCTGCCAGGGCCATGCCTTGGTCCTCAGACTTACCTCAGCTTTCCTTCCTTAGTCCAGTACCATGCCTCTCTCTCACCATGCCTCATCCCTTAGGCCAGGGCCATGCCTCCCTCTTAGGCCTGTCTGATGCTTCCAAATCCTTTGCCCAGGCCCTCCCACTTTCCTATCTCACCGATTGCCATTCTGCCATTGCCCTGGAAGCAGACATTCTGGCCCTGGTGACACTGGACCCGTCGGGACTTTTCAGGGGCGCAGTCCTCCGGGAGGATCCCCACGCAGGAATAGCATTCAGTGCCGCTGAGCGTCTGTGGGTCGGGTGCTGGCAAGACAGTGTAGACGCGCACTCAGGGAATGGCACCTGAGCAGTAGTGCGGGTTGCGCACTGCCCCAGGCCGCTTGCCTCGCGGGCGGGAGGGGCTGGGATCCCGGCAGTGGGCAGCAGAGGCTCCCAGAGGAGGCCACGCCCCTCCCTGCCTGGGGGCGTGGGCCCAAATTCTTACAGTTCCGTCCCGCCTCCAGCCCCGCCCAACGGCGCACCTTGGCTCAGGTTGGGGATGGAGTCGTGGGTGACGAGGTTGGCGTTGCACCAGTCAGACGCGCAGCCGCGCACCACCGAGAAGTCTGGCGGCAGCGCGTCCTGGTTCGATTGCATCTGGCCCGTAGGCGGGCCAGTCCAGCAGCCTTTCTGCACCATGGTCACCGGTGCGCGATACCCTGGGGACGGAGAGGACTTGGGCTCGACCTCCAGTCTCCACGCTCCTCCCTCTACTCCTCTGGCTTTCACCTACACCTCCCACTTCCCTCCTTCTCCTTGCCCTCTCTCACTACTCCTCCCTCATTTTTCTCTTCTTCCCCTCTCCCACCTCATCTTCCTCATTCCCTACTGTCTTCTCCCTCCCTACATCTAATCCCTCATCTAACCTTTTCTTTCTTTTCTCTCTCCCTCCTTATCCCCTGTTCCTCCACTTCCCTTTCTATCCTTATCTGTTCTGTTTTCTTTTATCAAATTCCCCTCCTTTTCTCTCACCTCCCCTCCTTCCCTAATCCCCTGGCTCTGTACCTCTCCCCCAACTCCCTCCTCTTCTGCACACCCTCCTTCTCACCAGTGTCCAGGGACAGGATGGCCTCAAAGCATCCATAGGGACAGAAGACGCTAGGGAGCTTCATGGCACTGAGGTCAAAGGGGCCGAAGTAGGTGTGCTCAAAGCTGTAGCACTGCAGGGCTCGGGACCCTGAGGAGAGGCAAAAGAGTAGGTCAGTGAGCCTGTCCTAGGGACTCAGGGCTCCACCCTGCAAGGGGCAGCTACATAGGCCAGGAAGCAGGCCTTGTATTCTTGAGTCTGCAGCTGCCTCTGTGTCTGTCTCATGGCAGAGTGATGACACCTCTGCAGCTGCCAGTTCAGTTTTTCCCTCCAGCTGTTCAGATCTCCACCCTCTGAAATTTAGATAAGGGAAGAGGAAATGATTCACTCCTGCTCTGCCCAGCTCTTCTCACACTGAACTCAATGGACATACAGAACACTAAAAGTCCTCGGACTGAGCACACGCTCCTGTACAGGCAGAATGATGTGCGATCTTGTTCTATAAACACATCAGCTCCAGAAACACACAAAACACTTAAACACTGATACATATAAACACAAAATAACAAAATATACACAGCTTCACACAAATTTCACAAATATGCACAGAATATCCTGAAAGCATCCATGTAGAGTTCTACATTCCCACATAAAACAAGTACTTACCCAGACCTTGGAATATAACCTCCTCCCACCAAGGCACAGCACCTCACACACACAAAATCATTCAGACACCAAGTTGTACGCCTGTGAGTATGATTTGGGGTTTGTGATAACAAAAACAACACACAGAAGCAAAGGCAATCACACCCAGAGAGAGAGAGAAAGACAAGTACAGAGTCCCAAAGCACAGAAACCCAAAGTGAGAAATTATAATTAACATGAAGTTAGAGGTATATAAAAAATGAGATCACAAAAACATGCGGTTTAAAATCGCATGTGGATAAAAAATACATAGGGACATACAAACAACACAGATACATAGGGAGAAAAAAGCACATCAAAAGATCAAAACACGGTCGGGTGCGGTGGTTCACGCCTATAATCCTAGCACTCTGGGAGGCCAAAGCAAGTGGATTGCCTGAGCTCACAAATTCGAAACCAGCCTGAGCAAGAGAGAGACCCCCATCTCTAAAAATAGCATGGCATTGTGGTGGGTGCTTGTAGTCCTAGCTACTGGGGAGGGCAAGGCAAGAGAATTGCTTGAGCCCAAGAGTTTGAGGTTGCTGTGAGCTATGCTGCCATGGCACTCTACTGAGGGTAAAAAGTGAGACTGTCTCCAAAAAAAGATCCAAACTACACATAGAGATAAATACAGGCCTACAGGTCTCTGAAATGTGCAAACACAAAAGGAGACACGCATATGCAAAATTATACTTCTATCTTATTACAAAGAAAGCAAAGCTCAGAGATAAACAGGCCCACGGAAGCACTTGTTCAAACATTGAGAAGTTGAAACCTGGTACAGAGAAACACACACAAACACAGCGATCCGCAAGGACACACTGACACATATGGAAATAAAATTGTCCCATGGATAAGTAGGCACACACAAACTTAGTTGTTTGCCGGAATACCTCTCTGAATTACTTCCTACCTCTCCATCTTTGTAGCCACTTGTGTTCTGAAATGTTTACGTCCCTGTCCCAGCCAATACTGGGGGAAGAGGTTGCCTGAAGATGAGGCCAGGGTCCCTGTCAGTTCTGGAAAGAGCCCGGATAGCTCCCAGAAGATCAGAGCTCAGGTCAACTTCAACTGCGATCCTACTGCTTCAGCCTCCCAAGTAGCTAGGACTACAGGTGCTTAGCAACACGCCCAGCTAATTTTTCTATTTTTTGTAGAGACAAGGTCTCTTTGTGTTGTTAAGGCTGGTCTTAAACTCCTGATCACAAATGATCCTCCTGCCTTGGCCTCTCAGAGTACTAGGATTATAGGCATGAGCTTGAGCAAGAAGGATAAAAGGGGCTGGAGTAGTGGGAAGAGAGGTGCCAGAGAAAATGACTGGTAGGGGAAGAATAGATGAGGGAAAGAGAAATGAAGAAGAGATGGTCTCCAGGCTCTCTACCATCAAGACTCTGGAGTCTAGGCTCTAGCCTCAGGCCCTCCATCCTCAGACCCAGGGGTCCAGGTCCCCAGCCCCTTCTCCCTTAGACCCAGGGGCCTAGGCCCCCAGCCGCTCCTCCCTCAGACCCAGGGGGCCAGGTTCCTAGCTCCTCTACTCTCAGACCCAGGGGTCTACACCCCCAATGCCCTTCTTAGTATTGAACTGGGAAGTTTGGGTACCTGTCAGGCAGAGCACGGCCACAAAGAAGCAGAGCAGAATGGCTCTGGGGACCCCCATGGCAGAGTGTGGAGGTGAGCTGAGGCACTTAGGACAGCTTCTCCTGCTTTGATTTTCCCTGCCAGCTGCCTGGCTGGTTTTCCCTGCTGAGCCCCAAACATTCCGGCTACCCAGCCTGGCCAGTATTCCTTTACCCCACCCTCCCTCATGTGGGCCAAACTCCTCCCAGGTCCTTGGGTAATCATGAAGGGGCCAGGATGAGTCCCAGGTGCTGGGGACCTGGTCCCCGGTCTGAGGGAGGAGGGGGCTGGGGGCCTGTAGCCCTTAATTTTGGAGGGTTTATGTTTTGGTGGCTTTCTTTCTTCTTCTCACACTCTGCTCAAGTCTGAGGTTGACACATGTCTTCCAACACACCACCCACACAGCTTCCAATCCTGGGGCCACCTCTCTGGAATCAGTGACACACCCATTACCCTTTCCTGGCAGCCCTCTCCGATCCCCATCCCCTTGCTTAGTCACCTATCCTCAGCCTCCAGCCTTCAAAAAGAAAAAAAAGCAACAACAAAATACAAATAAAAAATGGTATAACAACTATTTACATATTATAAATAATCTAGAGATGACTTAAAATATGTGGGAGGATGTGCATAGGTTATATGCAAAGACTACACCATTTTCTATCACTGTGATATCTTTGGGGGTCCTAGAGCCAATCCCCCATGGATACCAAGAAAAAACTATACATGTTGTATCATTTATTTATTTATTTATTTATTTTTGAGACAGAGTCTCACTTGTCGCCCTTGGTAGAGTGCAGTGGCATCACAGCTCACAGCAACCTCAAACTCCTGAGCTCAAGTGATCCTCTTGTCTCAGCCTCCCACGTAGCTGGGACAACAGGAGCCCACCACAACACCCAGCTATTTTTAGAGACGGGATCTCGCTCTGTTTAGGCTGGCCTCAAATCTGTGAGCTCAGGCAATCCACTCACTTTGGCCTTCCAGAGTGCTAGGATTACAGGCGTAAGCCACCGTGCCACCTGCAAGAAGGTTATTTTTAGTACAAGTTTGGTTGAATCTGTGGATTAGAGGGCCAACTCTAATGGTAAATTCTCCACTCCTTTGAAATGTATGTAAATCTTTTCCTGGTCCCTTGCTAGATTTAAAATCCTGAAATGTCTTTCTCAAGGACCTTTGAAATAATGCAGGAAGAGAGCACCCGTATCTTCCAGTCTCTGGGAGCATAGAAGCCTAATTTGGATAAAACAATAATCGGCAAACACAGATGACCCAATGACAGAGCAAAGCTTTTGTAAACTGAGGAATAACGCTGCCTGACACCCCATTGACTAACCTCACCTTTTGTTCTCTGGTACTTTTCCATTAGCCCACCCAGCACTGGCTTGGTGCCTATAGCTCAGGCAGCTAGGGCGCCAGCCACATACACTGGAACTGGCAGGTTCAAAACCAGCCCAGGCCAAAAAATAGCCAGGCACTGTGGTGGGTGCTTGTAGTCCCAGCTACTTGGGAGGCTGAGGCAAGAGAATCTCTGGAGTCCAGGAGTTTGAGGTTGTTGTGAGCTGTGACGCCACAGCACCTACCCAGGGTGACAGCTTGAGACTCTGTTTGAAAAAAAAAAAAAAACAAAAAAAAGAAAAAC